GGTGGTGCTGGGTGCTGGGCCCTGGGGGTGTTGGGTACTGAGCATGTCCAGCTGCTGGGCATGTTCGGGTTCTGGGTGATGGGCGCCTGGAGTGCTGGGTGCTGGGCACTGTGGGTGCTGGGTGCAGCGTACTGGGGGTGATGGTCATGTCCAACTACTGTGCATGTCCGGGCTCTGGGTGCTGGGCACTGGGGGTGCTCTGTTCTGTGCATGTCTGGGTGTTGGGTGCTGGGTGCTGTATGTTGGGTACAGGGTGCTTGGCATGTCTGGGTGCTGTGTGCTGGGGGTGCTGGGCTCTGGGAATGTCCTTGTGGTGGGCACTGGGGGTGTTGGATGCTGGCATGTCCGGGTGTTGGGTATTGGATTGCTGCGTGCTGGGCCGTTGGGGTGCTGGGCATTGGGTATGTCCGGTTGCTGGGCACTGTGGGTGCTGGGTGCAGCTTACTGGGGGTGCTGGTCATGCCCAGCTACTGTGCATGTCCAGGCTCTGGGCGCTGGGGTGCTCTGTTCTGTGCATGTCCAGGTGTTGGGTACTGGGTGCTGGATGTTGGGTACAGGGTGCTGGGCATGTGTGGATGCTGGGTGCTGATCTCTGGGAATGTCCATGTGGTGGGCACTGGGGGTATTGGATGCTGGCATGCTGGGTACTGGGTTGCTGGGTGCTGGGCCCTTGGGGTGCTGGGCATTGGGTATGTTCGGGTGCTGGGCACTGGGGGTGGTGGCAGTGCTGGGTATGTCTGAGTGTTGGGTATATTGACGTGCTGGGTGCTGGGCGCTGGGCTTTTTGGTTGCTGGGTATGACAGAGTGCTGGTCATGTCTGGGGGCTGGGTGTTGGGTCCTGGGGGTGCTTGGTGCTGGGCATGTCCTGGTGCTGGGCATGTGTGGGTTCTGGGTTCTGTGTGGTGGGTCCTTGGTGCTGGGAATGTCCGGGTGAAGGGTGATGGGTCCTGGAGGTGCTGGGCGCTGGGCATATCTGGGTGCTGTGCATGTCCGGGTGCTGCGTGCTGGGCTCTGGGGGTGGTGGCTGCTCACCATGTCCAAGTACTAGTCATGTTTGGGTGCTGGGTGCTGGGGGTGGTGGGTGCTCGCCATGTCTAGGTGCTAGGCATGTTTGGGTGTTGGTGCTGGCAGCTGGGCATGTCCTTGTGCGGGATGCTGGGTCCTGAGTTCTGGGCACTGGGGGTGCTGGGTGTTGGGTGTGTCACCGGACTGGGCATGTCTGGGTGCTGGGCATGTCCGGGTGCTGGGCGCTGGGCAGGCCCAGGTGCTGGGCAGGTCCAGGTGCTGAGTGTTAACGGGTGATGGGCATGTCTGGGTGCTGGTTGCTGTGCGCTGTGAGTGCAGGGTGCTGGGCACATCATGGTGCTGGGCATGTCCATGTACTGCGTGCTGTGTGTGCCAGGTATGTCTGGGTGCTGGGTGCTGGGGTTGCCAGGTGCTGAGTTGTGGGCTCTGGATGAGCTGGGTGCTTGGCGCTGGGTGTGCTGGGTGCTGGGGTTGCCAGGTGCTGAGTTGTGGGCTCTGGATGAGCTGGGTGCTTGGCGCTGGGTGTGCTGGGTGCTGGGCATGTCCAAGTGCAGAGTGCTGCATGCTGGCTGCTGGACACTCAGGATGCTGGGTGTTGGTCACTGGGGGTGCTGTGTGCTGGATATGTCTGGGTACTGAGCATGTCCTGGTGCTGCGCATTTCTGGGTGCTGGGTGGTACACTCTGGGTGAACTGGGTGCTGAGTGCTGGGCATGTACAGATGCTGGGTATGCCCGGGCGCCGGGTGGTGGACACTGTGGGTGCTGGTTGCTGAACATTTCCTGGTGCTAGGTGGTAGGCGCTGGGGGTGCTGGGTGCTGGACATATCCGGGTGCTAGACATGTTTGGGTGCTGGTGGTGGGAGCTGGGGGCATGTCCTTGTGCAGTATACTGGACACTGCAGGTGTTGGGTATGTTGCCAGGCTGGGCAGGTCTGGGTGCTGGGCACATCCGGGTGTTGGGTGCTGGGTGCTAGGCAGTAGCATTACTGCATGCTTGGCTCAGTGGGTGCTGAGTATGTCCTGGTGCTGGGCATGTGCAGGTGCTGAGTGCTGGGTGTGTCTGGGTACTGGATGTTAGGTGGTGGGCACTGGGGATGCCGGTTGCTAGGCATGCTCAGGTGCTGGGTGATGGGCATATCCAGGTGCTGGGTGCTGGGTATGTCTGGGTGCTGGGAATGTCAACGTGCTGGCTGCAAGGCACTGCACGCTGGGGTTGCTGCGTGCTGGGCATGTCCAGGTGCTGGGTGCTATGCTCCAGCTGTGCGGGGTGCTGGGCACTGGGTTGCTGGGTGCTGGGCTGGGCCCTTGCTGAGTGCTGGGCATGTCCGGGTACTGGGTGTTGGGTGCTCAGTACTGGGGATGCTTGGTGCTGGGCATGTCCCGGTGCTGGGCACATGGGGGGTCTGGGTGCTGTGTGGTGGGTGCTGGGGGTGCTTGGTGCTGGGAATGTCCGGGTGCTGGGTGCTGGGTCCTGGGGGTGTTGGGTACTGGGCGTGTGTGGGTGCTGGCATGTCTGGGTATTGGATTTTAGGTGCTGGGCATTTTCATGTGCTGAGTTCTCAGCATTGGGGGTGCTTGGTGCTGAGCATGTCCAGGTTCTGGGCATGTTTGGGTGATGGGCGCCTGGATTGCTGGGTGCTGGGCACTGTGGGTGCTGGTCATTTCCAGCTCCTGTGCATATCCGGGCTCTGGGTGCTGGGCGCTGGGTGTGCTCTCTTCTGCGCATGTCTGGGTGTTGGGTGCTGCGTGCTGGATGTTAGGTATGGAATCCTGGGCATGTCCGGGTGCTGGGTGCTGGTCTCTGGGAATGTCCGTGTGGTGGGCACTGGGGGTGTTGGGTGCTGGGCATGTCCAGGTGCTGGGCATTTCGACGTGCTGGTCACTGGGTGCTGGAGGGGCTGGGTCATATCCAGGTGCTGGGCATCTCCTGGTCCTGGCTGATGAGTGCTGGGCATCTGGGGTGCTGGGCATGTGTGGGTGCTGGGTGCTGTGTCGTGGGCACTTGGGGTGGTCAGTGTTGGGCATGTCCCGGTGTTGTTAGCTGGGGTGCTGGGTGCTGGATGCTGGATGTGCAGGGTGCTGGTCAGGTCCGGGTGCTGGGCATGTCTTGGTGCTGGCAAAAGTGGATTCTGGGTGCTGCAGTTGCAGGTGCGGAGTGGTGGGCTCTGGGTGAGCTGAGTGCTTGGCGCTGGGTGTGCTGGGTACTTGGCATGTCCAAGTACTCAATGCAGAGTGCTGCGTGCTGGCTGCTGGGCACTCGGGTGTTGGTCGCTGGGGGTGCTGTGTGCTGGACACTTCTGGGTACTGCGCATGTGCTGGTGCTGGGCATGTCCAGGTGCTGGGTGGTGCACTATGGGTGAACTGGGTGCTGGGCATCTACAGATGCTGGGTATGCCCAGGTGCTGGGTGGTGGACACTGTGGGTGCTGGTTGCTGAGCATTTCCTGGTGCCAGGTGGTAGGCGCTGGGAGTGCTGGACATGTCCAGGTGCTGGGTGTGTCAAGGTGGTGGGTGCTAAATGCTGGGTCCTGAGTGCTTGGCACTGGGGGTGCTCGTTGCTGGGAATGTCGTGGTGCTGGCCATTTCCGGGTGCTGGGCATGTCCAGGTGCTGGGCGCTGGCGGTTCTGGGTGCTGGGCATGTCCAAGTTCTCGGTGCTTGATGCTGGGTGCTGGGATTGCTGGGTGCTGGGCGCTGGGGGGGTACAGGGTGCTGGGCATGTCCGGGTGCTGGGTACTGGCCGTGCTGGTTGCGGGGCATGTCCGGGTGCTGGGCATGTCCAAGTTCTCAGTGCTGGATGCTAGGTGCTGGGTCCTGGGCACTTGTGGTGCTGGGTTTGAGCATGTCGCAGGGCTGGGCATATCCAGGTGCTTAGTGCTATGCACCTGGGGTGCTGAGGGCTGAGCGCTGGGGGTGCTGGGCATGTCGAGGTGCTGGGTGCTGTTCGCTGGCGGTGCTACATGCTGGGCAAGTCTGGGGGCTGGGGCAGCGCGGGTTTTGGGGGGCTGGTGGGTGCTGGGCGCTGGGGGTGCGAGGTGCTGGTCATGTCCGGGTGCTGTGTACGTCTGGGTGCTGGCTGCTGTGCGCTGGGGGTGCTGGGTGCTGGGCATATCTGGGAGCCGGGCATGTGCGGGTGCTGGGTGCTGTGTGGTGGGCACTGAGGATGCTGGGTGCTGGGCATGTGCGCCTGATGGGTACAGGGTGCTGTGTACGGTTTGCTATGCATGTCCAGGTGTTGGGCACTGGATGCTGGGGGTGCGAGGCATGTCTGGGTGCTGGGTACTGGGGTTGCTGGGTGCTGGACATGTCCGGGTGCTCTGTACGTTGGTTATTGGCTGCTGTGCGCTGGGCTGCTGGGTGCTAGGCATATCTGGGTGCTTGGTGTGTCCAGGTGATCGGTGCTGTGTGCTGGCAGTGCTGGGTGTTGGGCATGTCTGTGTGTTGGGTGCTGGATGCTGTGTATGGGTTGCTGGGCATGTCTGGGTACTGGGTGCTGTGTGGTGGGTGCTTGGAGTCCTCGATGCTGGGCATGTCCTGGTGTTGTTTGCTGGGGTGCTGTGTGCTGGGCACTGGGCGCTGGGGGCGCTGAGTGCTGGGCATGTCCAGGTACTGGGTGTTGGGTGCTCGGCACTGGGGGTTCTTGGTGCTGGGCATGTCCCGGGGCTGAGGGTTCTGGGTGCTGTGTGGTGGGTGCTGGGGGTGCTTGGTGCTGGGCATGTGCGGGTGCTGGCATGTCTGGGTACTAGGTACTGTATTTTGGGTGCTGGGCATGTTTGTGTGCTGAGTTCTCGGCACTAGAGGTGCTGGGCATGTCCAGGTTCTGGGCATGTTTGGATGCTGGGTGATGGGCACCTGGAATGCTGGGTGCTGGGCACTGTGGGTGCTGGGTGCAGGGTACTGGGGGTGCTGGGTGGTGGTCATGTTCAGCTCCTGTGCATGTCCGGGCTCTGGGTGCTGGGTGCCGGGTGTGCTCTGTTCTGCGCATGTCCATATGTTGGGTGCAGGGTGCTGGGCATGTCCGAGTGCTGGGTGCTGGGCACTGTGGGTGCTGGGTGCAGGGTACTGGGGGTGCTGGGTGGTGGTCATGTTCAGCTCCTGTGCATGTCCGGGCTCTGGGTGCTGGGTGCCGGGTGTGCTCTGTTCTGCGCATGTCCATATGTTGGGTGCAGGGTGCTGGGCATGTCCGAGTGCTGGGTGCTGGTCTCTGGGGATGTCTGTGTGGTGGGCACTGGGGGTGGTGTGGGCATGTCCCGGGTGCTGGGCATTTTGACGTGCTGGTCACTGGGTGCTGGGCACTGGGGGTTCTGGGTGCCAGGCATATCCGGGTGCTGGGCATGTCTGGGTCCTGGCTAATGAGTGCTGGGCACTTGGCGTGCCGGGCATGTCCAGGTGGTGGGTGCTGTGTCGTGGGCGCTTGGGGTGGTTGGTGTTGGGCATGTCCCGGTGTTTGCTGGGGTGCTGTTTGCATGGCGTTAGGAGCTGGGGATACTTGTTGCTGGGCATGTCCGGGTGCTGGGCACTGAGGTTTCTGGACATGACCGCGTGCTGGGCATGTCTTGGTGTTGTTTGCTGGGTGCTGTGTGCTGGGCTTTGGGAGCTGGTGATACTGGGTCCTGGGCATGTCCGGGTGCTGGGTGCTAGGGGTGCTGGTCTCTGGAAATGTCCTTGTGGTGAGCACTGGGGATGTTGCGTACAGGGTGCTGGGCATGTCCAGGTGCTGGTCATTTTGACATGCTGGTCACTGGGTACTGGGTGCTGGGGTTGGTGGGTGCTGGCAATATTCGGGTGCTGGGCATGTCCAGGGCCAGCAACAAGCACTGCCAGTGCCCATCACCCAGCAGCCACACA